AGCTCACTCACTGAAAAATGATCGCACAGCTTCAGCATTGAAGCCCATGAATGACAACAGCAACACACACAAAAAAACCAAAGAGGGAAATAAAGACCACCTCACCCAGAGGCATCCTAAGCTTCTACACTGAATTTCCTGTTTCCCACCAGTTTATGACCCTTAATGTTACTGGATGGATGGTTGCATATTTGAGATGATTAAAAAATGAAAGACTGCCTTAAAAGCACCTCCTCCTCAAGTATGTAATTACATACAAATGAAAGATTCCTTCTGACAGTCCTAGGGACCCCATTTGTTACTGTTTCATGTATAAGCACCATTGAGCCAATTTTTAAAGCACATTTGCAGTGATCAAATGTGTTCTCAAGTTTCGTGTTTTTTTTTGTCTTTAAATCAAAAAATGTGTGAAGTGTGTTCATTGATGCGCTCCTTATCATATCTAAATTGACAAAAATGTTAATTTTGGAAGTGCTTTTAATCACTATTTTCCCCAACAGACTAGAATGGCTTCATGAAACTTGATTAAATAAAGAAATCCGTATCTCCCAAAGAAGCACATATCTGACCCTCTATCACTGCATGCAAAATAAGGGTCTGTCTGAGAGTATTTTTTCCCCAAACTCCTAATGGAAATGGCAGACAACACACAGGAAAGGCTAACCCTTGAACTGACCAACTTCAAGTTTTAAAAAAATCTTTGATTGGATTCCCACCCCCACCCCTCCCAAATCATGTAGCAGTTAAAAAAATTAATGATTTACAAATTATAGAAAAGATATGTTATCTACAATATATGCCAAGTGACTCATTAATTTTTTTTAACCCACACCCAAATGAAAAATTAAATTAAACTACCATCTTGGATCTTGGTGCTTTCCACAATTCTGAAATTACAAGTAAAGAGGGGAGACATACCAGATTTTCTTTTTTTCTTTTTGGTTATTCTTTTCTCGGCAGAATTGGGCAGAGAAAAGAAGGCAGTGAACCTTCATTCTTTGGAACAGGCCCTCTATAGCAAACTTCAGCCTGGGGCACCTTTTTATGATCAAATTAAAAACCTTTGAAATCAGAAGTTTATCATGGAAATGCTGACAGATCCTGACCCAGAGAAGGGCTATCGGGCAACACAATAATATGAAGAAAGCTCTCCCTCAAGCACGATTGCCCTTCAGCACAGGGACAGGGTTGTGTAATGGCACCACTGGCCAGCAGACAACCATGATTTAATGTGCGTAAGCCTTGGTCACACGGCAGCTCCGTGACCCTCTCAGCTAAGCCAATTTTTCTTTTCTTTTCTTTTCTCCAACTGAAATACGCCTCAAAGGGTAAAGGATTGCAATTTTAGCCTTCATTTATGGATATATTGCTTTCTTTCAACAGTATCTGACGGGCCTGTTAAGCGCCACCCATGGGGGTGCTGAGCAGGTTGTAGGAAGGTCTCACTGAATACAGAACACCAAGCATTTTCAGTAGTTTATTTGCATTTTTTTTCTTGGCTTATTTTAGTGTGCACCACGTGTAAAATCAGATGAGGGCTACAGAAAAAACATTTTCAATGTCCAAAATCTTACTTTTCCTTCTAATGATATGGAGCAAATTACATATGCATTGATTATGAGAATAAATGGTTTCTGCTACAGTGCTGAGAAAAAAAAAAAATGTCATCAATATGAACGGTTCTCATCTACAGAGATGGTTTACATGATGCAAGTAATGAAAGAGTTTTTCCTTAACTAGTCTACTACCAAAACTGAAACAAAATAAATCTTAAAATTCTCCTTGAAAATACCATATGGTTGGTCATGTATCAATAGAGGAAAGACAGTCCCCATCACCAGGCCACCACCATAAAAGCTATATTAAATACGTAGAAAAGAAAATATGGGGACACTTGTGGCAATGATTAAATTGATAAGTACAGAGATACACTGCCATAATGGTACATATTTATTCTCTAATAAAGTGAAATAAAAAATAAGATCAATTTGGTTATAGAAATTCCTTAACACCACCACTTAATTATTTCAAACTTGAACTATCCCAAGAATGTTGTGAAAAAAATTAGCACTGGCTAAAAAGCAAAAGCAGTCTGGGTACACCCACGTAATCAGCATGCCTTGTGCTTGTCTGTTAACCCTCTGAGTACATCTCTGACATTCAGGATCTTGATAGCTTAGTGCTGAAAAGATTGCATTCCATCTGATTACTCAATATTTCTACTTGACAGGTCACATTCCACTATTTATTCAGCATAGATCACTCAAATTCTGCAGCGATGTGCTGGGATCCCCATGCTGAGTGGCCCTGCATTCTTCCGAGTGGCCCCTCTGCAGTGTTATGGGAAAAACGCCACAGCTTTACATGGTCCACAGTCCTTCAAGACTTGGGTGAAAAAGGCCTGAGCCATGCGCTGTAAGGTATGTACGCTAGATGCTGGCATCATAGACACAATGCCCACGGGAAAAGCAGTAATTCAGAGAAAGAAAGTGAAGTGAAAGTTGCTCAGTTGTGTCCAACTCTTTGTGACCCCATGGACTATACAGTTCATGGAATTCTCCAGGCCAGAATACTGGAGTGGGTAGCCTTTCCCTTCTCCAGCAGATCTTTCCAACCCAGGGATCAAACCCAGGTCTCCCGCATTGCAGGCGGATTCTTTCCCAGCTGAGCCACAGTGGAAGCCCAAGAATACTGGAGTGGGTAGCCTATCCCTTCTCCAGGGGATCTTCCCGACCCAGAAATAGAACCGGAGTCTCCTGCATTGCAGGCGGATTCTTTACCAACTGGGCTACCAGGGGGCCCAAGGAAAACCACAATCTTACTGCAGGGAGGTCTCCACACACAGGCTTTCTTCATATTCACACATTTATAATTGAGGCCAATCCAGGAACCTGCTCCTTCGTCTTACTGTGAATAGTGCTTTGCTTCTGAGTTCTAGAGAAAGCAGTAATTTCTGACCAGTTTTGGATACTTTACTGTATGGAATCTACCCACACACCATACCTTCCTGGTGTCCTGCCCTCCCTGTCTTCGCCAGAAAACCCAACTGATTGTGCTACCTTGTGATGTTGTGTGTTAGGTTTCAGGACTCTCTTAAAAAAAGGGGGGGGGGTGCTCTCAGTAAATGACCTAATATTTACATGGCAAGACAACACAGAAGAGATAAAACTAAACGTGAAAGAGTCAAAAAGTCGGGGAGCGGCGGGAGTTGGGGGGGACCATGGTGCAGTCACGGCATGCTGTGATTTTTACATTGATAGTAATAGAGACCATATGTTTATCAGTTGAAGAGTAAAAGGTGGTCACTGAAGACCGACCTGTGTCTGAAAGTCAAGAACTGACTGTGGAAGAGCTGCACACACATTTCAAGACTTTCAGGTGTCGAAGTATACCTCAGAGCAGAGACCATGAGCGCTGTCCAGCCATCTAGATGCAAATTTCATGAGCCATCATGGTTGTCTTCCAGGCCAGGGAGCGAAGCAAACCTTAGGAGGACATCTGAGTTGGGACAAACCCCACCTTGCCAAACACCCCAGCCAGCCTCTTCCCTGCACCTAAGCAGTGACCGCAGGCTGCTGCAGGCCCCCATTCCAAGTGTAACACACTCTAGGGGAGACACAGGGCTAGGGAGAAAGATCTGGAAACAGGAGTAAAATACAGCTGTGGGACAGGACTTGGGCCAAAGAAAGAAAATAGCATCTCTCTCTGGACAGCTTAAGACAGTGCTATATAAAGGTCATCCTAGGGAGTGGAAGTTTTATCCTCAGGGATACCCTCTATGTCTCCCATCCTGTTCTCCCTGAGACTATATGTAAGTATCCTAAAGGTGCACATGGAATCATCTCACCGATGGTTTATTTCATTAAAAAGCGTTTTGAGAATATGGACTGCTGGTCCACTCTGCTTTCTCCTTGGCCATCTTGCAAAACACTCGGCTCTGGGCGCCCAATCCCGGGCGCTCCTCCTGTGTATGGGCTTCATATTCTGTGTATGGACTTCATACACTGTGTGGATCTCACACTTTAGACTGAATTGTGTGAAAAAAGCAGATGAGACAAAGAACAGGGTCTTGTTGCCTCTTCCTGTTTGACATTCCAGCCCTGTAGAGCACCTGGCAATTTATTGCTCTTTTCCACCAGTTTATTTTTTTCCTGTAGATGTTTCATACTGAGCAGGCAGACCCTGAATCACCAAGTACAGGGCAAGCTCTGGTGACTTCCTGAGGGTCTGCACTGGCAGTAATAGCAGCTGAAGTGGAAGCAGCATTTCTGGGGCGTCATCAGCACGTCTTCAAATGGAGGTGATTTGGGGGAGGGGGGCCACCATCTATATCCTGGGTCAGGCTGTTGGCCATAGATCCAGGTCCCTCCACGTGGGATGTAGGACTCAGGGCAGCTGGCAGTGAGACCTCTTTCTTTTAAAAAAGTCCCTTTCTTAATAGGATTGTGAAGAGGAAAGGGATGCTGATGCTTAAGTTATAAACCTGCCATGTTCTAAACCCACAAAAAAAGGACAAGCAAGACAGCATGCTAGACGCTCTTCCTGTCTGGACATCTCAGCATCTAATAACCCCTTAATCTGCAGCAAAATCAAGAAACATGTGCATATAAATCCAGAGGCCTGAAAGATTCCCTCAAGCATTCTCCATAAAATCCCATGCACTCAGAGGGTTAACACATGCTATGTTACATACTGCAGAGCCTAGCTCCACTGATGAAAACATTCATTGCTTCTACATTTTAAAAGTCGCAAAATAGCCTTAACCCTTTGAGGACCCAATTAGCAGCAAGTTGTCATCTTCACCAACAACATGTCACAGTCTCATTCAGCAAAAGGGAAATCGCTACAAGGGTACCAGAAAAACACACTGTTCTGCTCGGCCATTCAAGCACTGAGTGCTAGGTAGATCAGAGGAAACTGTCAGACATAAATTTGGGGGGGGGGTAACAAACCTCAGAGTATCAAAGGGTTAAGCTAGGACTTCGAGTAAAAGGGTCTTATTAAAAGGGCGAGTTTGGGGAGCGAACAGTCTCGGAGGAGCTCGGCGAGTAGTCTTCCGACTCCGAGTTGAGTTCCGGTGGAGCTGGCTGGGCCTTGTACCGGCTCCTCACATCCGGGTTGCGTCTTCGTCGGAAAACCTGCCTCTCCTTATCAAGAGCGGTGGTCTAGCAGGGGCATAAAATGAGAAAGAGGACAATTAGGCCGAAGGAAATGGCAAACACACACACACACATGCACACACACATATGACACTTTCTGGAACTTTCTGAGGTCAGAAAAATATGCTGGCTAAAGTTAACCATCCACAATGGCTCACTTAGGGTGCCCACAGTCCCCACTGCTGGGGTGCCCTCTGCTCCCCCAGATGCAGCTCTGAGAGCCCCTTGTCGTGACATCGCAGGCACAGGCAGGATGGATGATGTGGGGGTTCAGCCTCTCTCCCGCCCTCCCCAGACCTCCCTGAGCTCCACATCATGACCCGTGGTTGCTCCCAGCCTATCCAGAGATCCTCGCTTCCCCCAGCCCCAGCGGTAAATGGGAGCCCAGGGCCTGTGCGTCTGACACGAGAGGATACTGGCAGTGCCTTGTTCATCAACATGCAGCTCCAGGCAGCTGCATAATAAAAGATGAGAGGTGATGAAGTTGTCAGACGTTGGAAACAGAGCCACAAGCTCATCCCGTTATTTTAGCACCTCCTCCTTCTAAATGACCTTATTATCTCTTGATGAGGGAGTGTGGGAAGGGTGGGTTTAATTTGAATGAACCAGCGCCTGACTTTGAAAACTGCCCTGAATGCAATTAAACCTGATGGAAACCTTCCCATGGATTCCCCTCCACAAACTTCGTTTTCACTGTAGTCCATGGGAATCTACGGAACTGAGGTTCAGCGTCATAGGGATTCCAACTCCGGGGCCCTGGGCCCTCTGCCCCCTTTTCCTGAGGAAACCTCGGATCGTCTCCAGGCTGTGCTCTGGAAGTTATTATGACATCAGGATTGGGAAGGGCATGGCTTCATTACAGATTTAATGGGTGTGAGCAGGATGGCTCATTACAGAGAAACCTTACACAGAGAGCAGGAGAGCAGGTACAAAGCCTGAAGAAAAATACAGAGCACACATAAAAGTTGGAAGGCATCCTTGTTTGAAAGTCCCTCTTTAAAAGGATGTAGCCTGGAGGTTATTCTGCTTTTAAGAGATTACTTTTCCTCTACAGGGATATATACCACCATTTTTCCTCTTGGAAATTTACTGTTAACTTCTTCAAAGAACAGAGATAAATTTATAGCCAGCCAGATTCTGAGAACAAAGTGAAAACTAAGCCCCTCATACAATTGCAGTGTAGCATTAGAGCAATCTTAGATCTAAAATGGGGCAATCAAAGTTACAAAATGAAGTAATAAAGAGAGAAAGAGAGGCAGTGTGTAGAACCAGTACAGTAAATGGCTTCGTTAGGCTGAACTGCTCCACTTTAAAAACTACCCACGCGTTGAGTAACAGTGATACAAATCAGTGAGGAAGATAAACTTTAATAATTCACTTCTCATTTCACTGGATTGTTAATACAATAATTCAACAACTGGTGTGTTGAAATGTCTACCTTTGATTCACCGACCATCGAACTTTTAAAGGCCTTCATGTACATAGCTCTTGGTCTTATACCCGCCGATTTTGTGATATTTTTCAGCATCATAAACCTAAATTCCTAACTTTATTTAAAACATTGTAAAGTTACAACACATGGTATTTTGCTTTCAAAGCAAACTGAAAATGTTCTGTTTGTGTAAAGCTGAACATAAAAAAGCAGGAGTCTATCTAGTCTGACTTACATAAACACCACTCTGCAGTTAATTCAAGAGTAATATAAACTCTTCTCTTGGTAGTAAAAAATATTTCAATTTCTACCTTCTTGAGAAAGGAAAAATCACTTGGCAACAAACTGAATATTGACTAGCAGACTGAGGTTCCCTGGTGTTGCCAAGAAAATTGCATGTTGGGTTTCGAGTCAGAAATTTGGAGTCCGGCTCCGTCCACTGCTGGTTGTGGGAACCATTTACTCAGTTCTCAGGTAAATAAGGAGTAAGGACAACTCCGCCCCCCTGCCACCCTCCTGAGTTGTTAAAAGGTAAAAACAGAAGTGCACATTCTCTCGAAATGGCAAAGACTCCCAGAAATGTAAGGTGGTGGTTTGTTGGTGCGTTCTCTACAATGTAAGATGTTGTTTTAAAATGAAGGAGCTGCAGGTCAGAGGAAAGCGATGCAGAACCCAGCTCACATTAGAACCTAGAGTGCGTCCTTTCCCTCCCACCCTCACTAGCACCTTCTCCACGTCGACCTCATCTCCCCATCACAGACTCAACTACTCCCAGTCGCGCTCTTGGCGGCAGCCACGGACACAGGCGATCTTGCCACCGCAATGCCCCGTCTGCGCGCTCACAGCTCGCATGGCACCACCCCGTTACGTTCGCGTTCACGCCTCCAGGTGCTCTCAGGAGCAAGTCATATGCTCTTCCTTCCGTGTCCCTCTGCCTGGCCAGCCCTTTGCTCTGTCCCATTTAAGTGGTCAGTTCTGGCCCTTCCTGCCACCTTCTCTAGTGAGCAGCTTTTAAACGCTGGCCCCGGTGCTCAGATGCTGCTGGGCTTTCAGTTGTGTTGAGTCAAGAGGAACTTGACAGCAGCTATTGGGCTTCCCTGGTGGTTCAGAGGCTAAAGTGAAGTGAAGTGAAGTCACTCAGTCGTGTCCGACTCTTTGTGACCCCATGGACTATAGCCTACCAGGCTCCTCCGTCCCTGGGATTCTCCAGACAGAAATACTGGAGTGGGTTGCCATGTCCTTCTCCAGGAGATCTTCCCGACCCAGGGATCGAACCCAGGTCTCCCGCATTGCAGGCAGACACTTTACCCTCTGAGCCACCAGGGAAGCTCTCAGAGGGTGAAGCGTCTGCCTACAATGCGGGAGACCCGGGTTCGATCCCTGGGCATGAAGATCCCCTGGAGAAGGACATGGCAACCCACTCCAGTACTCTTGTCTGGAGAATCCCGGTAGGCTACAGTCCATGGGGTCGCAAAGAGTCAGACACGACTGAGCGACTTAACTTTCACTTTCTATTATTGAAAACATAGCATGTCATGATCACAGGTCATGGAAAAGGGTGTGATGGTTGTTTCTGCTGGATGTACAGACTCCACATTGATAAAGCATTTGTAAAGCATTCTTTGCCCGGGGCCTTGCCCTTGCAGGCAAGGAAACTGGGGCCCAGGCATGAGGAGAGACCTGCCCGTCACTGAGGAGGAACAGAACTCAGTTCTCCTCCCGGCTCAGGCAGCTTCTTCCCACTGATTCTAAAGTCTATTGAAACAGAACTTGAAGGAGCCACTGCATTTCAGGGTTGCCTTCTCCAGTCCCCAGACACAGTGGGCTGGGGAGGAGAGACAGACCACAGGCAGTGTCCAAGGCCAAAAGACCAGGGCTTTCCCATGCCGGAGACCCGAGAACTCTCTCAGGGACAGCAGGCCAGGGTTCCTGCGTGTACAGTCCCATCCTGGGCCTGTGAACTTCGAGGGACACCTGGGCACGATGACAGGCGGGATCTGCTGGGATCCAACCACCCAGATCTGCTCAATATTCTCAAAGGCTCCACAAGCAAGGTTTAGGGCTCCCAACACACTTGCTCTCAGAGATGATCCAGAGGACGTCACTGCCCCCAGGCCTCTGCTCCCTGGGCTCCTGCTCACTCTGCTTCCGCCTCGAGGGACTGAGCTTCACTTGAAGAACTTCTCCGCGTTCCCATGAAGCCCAGCACAGCTGTCACTGTGCATTATGCCCGCACCGTGACCGACTCGGCAGCACTGTCTTCCCTGCCATGCTGTGGACGCTATGGAGGGCAGGATCAGGTCTGGGCATCCTGTCTGTGTCTCCACAGTTCACAGCACAAAGGAGATAGAATCAGATGTGCACCTTTTGAACAGTGGGCAAGTACAACAGAGGTCCTGGGACTTCCCTCCTCCTGCACACCCAACCCCCGGGCCATCCCTCACCCAGCTGAGAGGTCAGTATGCCCAAGACTGATTTACAGTTCCTCATAAAGTCGAACTCCTTGTCCTAGCAGTCGCAATGTGCTTACAATAAAATTTTCCAGCGTCCAATTATTCCTATTATTACTCAAAATAATCCTGTGACATCAGAAGACTCAATGTCTCCATTAGCAGACACAGCACCCGCTTGCTCTGCTTATAATTAACCATGCCTGTTTCCCTTCGGACGCCCCCGGCTCCTGCAATCTGTGGTTCCAGTGAAGGGCACCCTACCTCCATCTCAAAGGGTGGGGCAGGGTTGGCCTGTGACCCAGAAGCAAGCCTGTGCTGACTGCATCCCCTAGGCCTTGTGGTTGGTTCAGGATGGGCACCCCACTCAGTTCCTGGGCCAGAGGAGACTACACAGTGATTTGGACTCACAGTGACTCCAGGTGAGAGGGTGGCCAGGCTGGAGGTGGTACCATGTGAAGCTCCAGACTGAAGCCACTACAGGGAGGCAAACAGGAGGCGTGGAAAGACCACCAGCCTCCTGACAACTGAGCCCCCCATGACTGAAGCCACAGCCAGCCTCTGAACCGCTCAGGCTGTATAAAATCATACATCTCCTTTCTGCTGAAAGCCAGCTGGGTGTGGGTTTTCTTCACGTGAGACCCCAGCAGGGCTAACTGGTAGCTCTCTGCAGGTGCGTCAATCACGCTCGCCTCTGCATCGTGGCTTAAGGTGTTCACCAGCCTGACATCACCCTCTCTCGCTTCCTGCCCACTCCCATTTCTGCTTTCTAAGATTTGATCAAATCTCACCTGCTGCATCACACTTTTTCTTTCTAAATTCCTCAGGCAGGAATTGTCTTGACCAGACTTTTAACATTTACTACAGCCAGGTCTTTTCTGTGCATCGTTTCCAAATCCTATGCAAGCTCCTCCTTTGCATTTTCCAGACTGCCTAGCCAATTGTGGCACATATAGAAGGGTATATTAAATATCTCGTAGCTAATATATAATTAAATTATTTTAGATGATTATGTCCTTTCTGAGTAACAAAACAGAACCCCAAGCAACTCTGATATAAAACAGTAAGAAGTTAAAGATATTGTGAGTCTTAATATTTAAGAATGTAGTTTATGTTTTAGATAT